CGCCGGGCATCGGCCGTGGACCCGTCTTCCAGAGCTAGAGCAGACCCTCCGCAGGAAACTCTTTGAGCAAGCCTTCCTGCCCACAAGCCAACCACCTCTCCCTCCTGTACCCTCGCTTGCCTCAGTTTTCCCAGCTCTAAAATGGGGATAAGGATCCTGTCCTCCTTCAGGCAGCTTTTCACCAATGCAGAGGGCTGTGGAAGAGCTGGGTGGCCTGTCACTGCTCTTGTATAGGAGATACTTGACTCACACAGTGGCAGGCAAGAGGCTGACACCCCGGCAATGCGCAGCACCCAAAACACTGACTAATGCCCAGGAAATCCTGGAGGATGACAACAACATCTCGGCCTGCTGTGATGCAACGGGGCTGGGGCTGCGGCCGTAGGGGCTGCGCGCTGATGAGACGGGAGGTGCGGATGGGCTGCAGGAACGAGGCGTTCCCGAATGCCAGGCCCCCGCTTTTCACGCCGGGGCAAACCGTTCCCAGCGTGAAGTCAGCCCGGACCTGTTTGCTGCCACGGGGTGAGTCAGGCCACTGTGTTTGGCTGCTGTCATAGCAGCGCTTATTAATAGCGCTGTGTGCTTCTACCACACCTTCCTGCCGACCAGCCGCGCCGTGCAGAGGTGGCACCCCAGCCCCGCCGTGCCGCTGGTCCTGGGGGAGGTGTCCCCCGACCCCCTTGCTTCTGGCCTCTGGATCGCTGAGCATGCACATCCCCCACCTTCCCCTGCCAGCGCCGGGCGGATCCAGGGGGTGCACTTGCACCCCCCACCCCCCTTGATTCCTGCTCCGCCCAAAGTTTCCAAGCAGGCGCCTGGGAGGCCGCGGCGTGTCTAGCCAGGCCACGCGGAGGCAGTCGTTTGGTTTTGTGGCTTGTCGTCATCTCCCCGATGCCCAGGGGTGGTCTACCCAGACCTGCTCCGTGTTTCGGGGATGGGCGCCGGGCCGTGCCAGGGTCCTGGCTGGGGGCTCTTGCCTGTGCGCTCGGGGGCAGGCCGCTCTCTATACTGGGGGCCCAGAAGGAAAGTCCCCCCGTGGTCAGACGGGTACGGACTGGGGCGGTTGCCCCCCGTACCTGGGGGGCACGGCCTGTCCCCAGGATGTCGCGGGGGTGCACTGGCAGCGTT